CCTGGGGCACACTCCAACCCTGATCTACTTCTACATTGCTCACCTCCAAAGCATTTTCATGAGGACCCACCTTTACTTCCAAGGAGCTTTCTAAGGCACAAATCCGACTGGCCCCTGCATAAAAACCGTTTGCTCGTTGGTTGCTTCTTTTAGTGTGAATCAGAATCAAAGCAGGACCTGTGAAAACACAGGTGGCAGATCTTGACCTCCAGAACTTCTAGTTTGGTAGATCTGTGGTAAGGCCCAACAATCTCTTCTAACCTGCTCGCATGTAAGAGAACCCACTAGGGCTTAGCAGTCCCGCATTCTGTCAAGATGAAGTCATGTGGGTCCTTGGCCCTATCACCATCTCTCACCAGGTCTCTTCGAATCTGTCATCCAGGCATCTTGGAAAGTTGTAGTTTCATGTGGAGATAAGCTCTTCCTCTAGCCTCTGGGTCTTTGCACACATTTTGTTGCTCGGTCCAGAACTCCCTCAACACCCCCAGTTCCTCTCCATCTCTTCTTCCTAAATTGGCTGATTCCTTCTCAACTTCCTATCTCCTGTCAAGTCCCTTCTTCAGGGAAGTCAGGATCTTCTACTATCTTCTTTGTTGCAGCTTTTATTATCACTGAGGGAATGAAGAAAGAATAGGGGAGACAACTCTCTTTCAAGATAGAAACCCCTGCCCTGGCAGTGGGGGAGAGGAGCAAGAGAGGGTCAGCTGGTGGCTCCTGGGAAGTCTGGTGGGCCAGAGGCCGCACCTGCAGGAGGAGGGCAGCACAATGGGCTTCTTCTCCCTTAGGCTTCTTTGGGCTCATTGGTCCCTGCCCATGACAGCTGCAGTCTCTCCAGTTGTCCCCAGCCCCCTCCCCCCCAACTCCCTCTACCCCTCCCACACCCCAGCACTGGGGTCAGAAGAAACCCACCCCATGTGGCCGTGCTCCCAGGGAGTCATCTCCCCACTCTGGGGCATCCAGCCAGCACCCGTGGGAGTCATGTGATCACTTTGGTATGCATGACAGGCTCCCTGGAGTGATGCTTGGAGAGGTGACCTTGCAGTCCAGGACAGAACCAGCTCCTTGTGAGTTTGCTGATGTCTGCTTGGGCCGCTTCCCGGATCTGGGGGGAGGGGAAAGTGGGGTGGGGAGATGGGGGGAGGAGCAATGCAGATTCATTTTTTTCTCTGCAGATATTTGGCCCCAATTTTCAAGCCCAGGTTACATAACACCTGAGGAGAACCACGCTCCCCTGTCACCCACACCTTCTCCCTTTCTGTGGAGCATTTCACAAGCGCAGCTGCTTCTCAGAGAAGGTCTATTTTGGGAGATGTTTTCATTTGACCTATATTAAGCACAGTCACAAGGCAGAGGCAAGTTTCGGGTGTAGGGTGGCCTGTTTGCTCTTTGTGCTTTTTTAGCGTCACGGGTGAGAAAATCAGACAAGCTGGTGCCTACAGCTTGGGAGCTGAGAGGTAAGTGGCCCGTGGGCCTGAGCAGGGCATCAAGCTCTAGGCATGGACAGTCTACTTTTAAATAATGTGTATCCAGGCCTCTGTCCCATTTCACAGTTCTGATATGCCTCCCTGTGAGGCCCCACTAAAAGAGAAAGATAATGCCTTGGTCATGGCAGCCATGGTCAGGGACAAATTTAGGTTTCGTGTAGGCCTGGAATCTACCAGGCCAGCCCAGGACCAGTCCCCAGCTTGGAAAATGTAGTCAGTAATTTTAATTGACTATCAAATCCCTTCACAGGGGAATTCTCTTTCCTGAGTTAATAATTAAATCACATGACCAGCAGGGGGAGAGAAAGGGCTGCTGGGAGCTCCGTGGCCCAGGTACAGTTCTCAAGCAGGCTGGCTACGCTTCCCACTGCCTTGAGGGCCTGTGAGAAAACAACAATGGAAATGATTCACCTACTAAGTGCCCTGCCAACACCCTACAAAGGGGTCTTTCTTGGATCACCATTTTCTCCTGGAGCCTTTTTTTATTGTCTCTTAAATAGAGATCCTATTCCAGGATCTAAACCTCTGCCCTAAGTTGCTGACCCCAAAACCTACATCTCCAGTGGCTCCTCTCTCCTGAATGGCTGCCATCTCTCCAAACAACTGTCTCTGGCCCATCACATTGGGAAATGTCAAGCCAGAAAGGCTGGCCTGCCCCACACCCAAACCAGCCCTGCCTCAGGAGGCCACAGTGGCTGACCCTTGCCCATGCCCTGCTATTTCACCCTTAGAAGGGACAAGGGGTGTTGAACAGGACCTTTGTAGGCAATTGGAGAGATGCTGACATGCATCCCCTCAGAAATTCAGGCAGAGCCCCAGCCTTCGTGGCAGGAAAAGGCTGCAGGGGTTTTGCCCCCACCCCATGCAGGCCAGTTCTTGGAGGTCTCTCCTCCAGATAAGTCCTGCACACGGCAGTGATCTGAACCACCAGTGCTGATGGGAACCCTAGAAGGGGAGATAACTCCCCTGGGGCTGTCTTCCTGGTGTTGGATGTGAAGGGAGTGTGGGAGGGAGCTGGCCAGGTTGCCAGGGCTCAGGAAAACCAGACAGGGACAGGTGAGCTAAGTGCAAAAGTGAGTGGAAATTTAAGAACTTGAGTTTGACTTTGAAGAGGGGGGAAAACTGAGGAAGGAGGAGAGGACAGATAGTGTTCTAGGTGGAGACCCAGCCCTGAGAAGGGGTAGGGCTAAGGTAAGGCAGAGGGTCAGACTGTAAAGCCTGGGTTAGGAGAAAAAGGTGGAACCATCTAGAATTGAAATCTGGACTAAGTGGCCAGCTGAATGGCCCCTTTCCTTCCTCTTGTCTCCCCACACCCTGTGGCATGGCAAATCCCAGCTGTCCCAGGACTCTAGGGGACTCTTGAGGTGGGGTGTGGAAGTGGTAAGACACTTTCTGCAGGCTGAGATTGACACAGCCCAGACAGAAGTCAACACAATGGACAACCTAGCAGGTCTCTCAGTCTGCCAGCCCCCTGTGTCCAGGACACCCCCCACCATGTAAATACTTGTGTAAGTCCTCTCTCTAGGGGCCGGATTGCTTGGTAGGTGGGGAGGCTGGGACAACAGGACGAGAGAAGCAGAGTGAAATAGAGGTGATGGAGGAATTTGGGAAGAAAACTCTACTTTGATCATCAAAGAATTAAAAAAAAAAGAGCAATATCTTTTTCTACCCAAAGTAGTACCAAAAAGAAAAGTAATGGGGCAAAAGAGGTGAAATTCCAACATAGGGGATACTGTCAAATCCCAGTTAAGGTAAATATCAGAATAGCCCGTTTTTGTTGATACAGTTGACAAGCAGTAGAACACATTTTTTTTTGTAAATGACAACATACCCATCAAGACCCACGTTCTCAATATTTAACTCAGTTTCCTCTTTGTCTGCTAATTTAGAAATATTCCAATGAGAAATCGCTCCTTATTCACTGACCACAGGCTACACAAAGGCAGGAAGATGACTTTCACCCCAGTGCTTTGCTGGAACATGGCCATGAGAGTGGGGCATTTGGGGACAATTTGGGAAATATGAGTATCAACTGGCAGTACACAATATTAAGGAATTTTTATTAATTTACTTAAGTATGATGATGGTTTTGTGATTACGTAGGATATGGCCTTTTTGGGGAAATGTATGCTAAAGTATTAAGGGACAAAATGACATGATGTCTACAAGTTATTTTGAAAAATCTTGGTGGAAAAAACAGCATGTAGCAAAAATATTAATTGTTAAGTCTAGGCAATGGAAATAAGAGTCTCCATTATAGATTTGATTTCCATTTTTCTCTCTGTTTACAAATATTTACAATACCCTGCAACGTGACATTAGAAGAAAAAAAGTAATAGCTTTTAAAACTAATAAATAAAAAAGCAAAATAGTATAAAAAGAGTATAACATAGATATAGAAAAACTGAAAATTATTGCTAGTTAGATGTTGAAATCATGGAAACTATCTTTTACTTAACTTCCTATTATGTTTTCTTATCTTTGAAAAGCATTTTTTTTTTATAAAACAATTTTATTTTATGTTACTCTGCTGTTACACAGGGCATAACACTTTCACAAGTCTTTTTGGGACTACAGTCAATGATGAGCAACACACAGTAGTGGTCCAACTCTCTAAGTAACAATCACGAGACAAAATGGACACCCTCTCACACGTGCACAAATCTGCATGGAAAAGTACTAAAGTTTTAGACTTGAACTGTGTACTTTATCTTCCCTTTCGAGTGTATTAAGAAATGACATGCACTTTACTTTGCCAAAAGCAATGCTTGTATTTTGGCAACAACATGCTACTTCTGTTACACAGTAAAGTGAATACCAGAACTACAAAGGCAGGAAGTGTAAGTGAATTTTTATTGGGAAGTGAAGTTATCAACTTCAACAGCAGCAAATGAAGAGTGAATAAGGAAATTCCCTGTTGTCACAGACACACAAGCCTCCATCACACAGGACACAGGAGGCACTTGAAATTGTGACCCCTGGCCCAGAAATGTCAATGCTTTCCCATTCAATCTGATACTTCTGGATTCCTATGAACAAGGAATACATGAAGGGCGTGGAGAAGTTGCTTGCTGAAAGGAAACCCAAAGAAGAGAGAGAGAGAGAATGCAGAAATGAGGAAGTGACGCAGAACACGCTTTAATGTAATGAGCTACATCTTCATGTCTTCACAGTAATACAAAACACGGTCACCTGCAGAACTGGTTCAGATTACCTAAATACCAGGTGCACTTTTAGTCCTCTACATAAGTGTCTGGAAGTTACTCATGTTTCTATGAAATGAAGCTATTAATACTTTTCTACAGCAGTAACTGCACACCAGGAAGGCCAGGTCAAACACAAATCAAGGAATGGAGTTTTTCCAAAGCTGCAGTGTGAAAAGACTATAAACAGTTGATTCCATACACATGAATGGGTTTCTTTAGGAAACCCTATAGGAAATCCAAATGAAATAAGGAATGGAGATGTGTAAAAAGGTTTCTCTTGAGGGGAAGAACTCTGACACCCTGTATGCATTTAGTTTTCTGCCCCTTCTGCCGCATCAGATTCTTCTCCTGCACTGTCTGATGTCCATAATGTTAGGTTGTCGCTAAGCAACTGCATGATGAGGGTGCTGTCTTTCTACGAATCTTCATTCAGTGTATCAAGTTCTGCAATGGCCTCGTTCAAAGCCGTTTTAGCCAGCGTGCAGGCAAGCTCTGGGTTATTAAAGATCTCATAGCAAAATACAGAAAAGTTAAGAGCCAGCCCCAGGCGGATGGGATGTGTGGGTTGCATCTCTTTCTTGCTTGTATCAAAAGTCTCTTGGTAAGCTCCCTGGGAATTATCTATCATTTGTTTTCGATCATCACCACATGCAACTTCGGCAAGGTACTGGAAGTAATCTCCCTTCATTTTCAGATAGAAAACCTTGCTCTCTGGATTAGTTGCATTGGCTGTTAAATACTTATCCAACAATTCCAGGACGGTGGTGCAAATGGACCTCAGCTCGGACTCCACTTTCTCCCGATAGTCCTTAATCAACTGCAACTTCTTGTCCGAGGCGTTGGTCTTCTGCTGGATGGTCGAGATGACGTGCCAGGCGGAGCGGCTGCCGCCCACCACGTTCTTGAAGGCCACGGACAGCAGGTTGTGCTCCAACCCAAATGCCCAAAAATAGATGACTGGATCAAGAAGATGTGGTACGTATACACCATGGAATATTACTCAGCATTCAAAAAAGATGAACACATGCAATTTGCAGTAACATGGATGGCGCTGGAAGGGATCATGCTCAGCGAAATAAGCCAGAAAGAAAAAGAAAAATACCAGATGGTATCACTCATAGCAGGAATCTAGAAAACTTAAATAAGGGACCAGGAAAAAGAATAACTATAAGAAAGAAAATATCAAAATCAACAAACAACCACGAACCAGAGACACTCTCTGGGGGGTGGTGGGGGGCGGGGAAAGGAGGGCTTGGGGTCAAAATAAGGGGGTTGTAATTGTATGGGGAATATAAAAATAAAATTTAAATAAAATTAAAAAAATAAAAATAAAACACAATGATCACCAAAGTTAAAAAAAATAAATAAATAAAAATAAAATAAAAGCTATTTATAATCAACAATTCACTCCCTAACTTTCTAGTCAATATATATTGTTACATATACATTTACATGTATATTTTTACATTACTAGTCTTTTATGTAAGTTGCAACTTTGTGTTTCTACTTAGTTACATTACATCAATACCATATGGGATGCAATCACACAATTAAATACCTTAGGGGAAAAAATCTATGCAAAATGTGTTACTTTAGTGATATTTTACTACTGAAGGAAAAGAACTAGCAAAACATTTTCCTTCCTTTCTTCTTTCTAAATGAACTAATTTAATGTATTGCACACCTCTTGTGCCTCTCTTCTCCTGTACCCATCAAAGGGTATCTATTTTTAAAATCTGGAAAATATAGGGGCCTCCCTGGTGGCGCAGGGAGTTAAGACGCAACACTATGAAGTTGCCCACAGTCACTGCAGCATGAGTTTGATCCCTGGCCAGAGAGCTACCCACATGGCGAAGCAGACCTCTCCTGACTCACCCACTGCTCCCCTCAGCAGTGTATTTCAGTCAGTCTGCCTGTTCTGCTCCCCACTCTGTGTCTGGTGAATCCTCTCACCCCCCACACCTCTGGCCTGTACCCCAGATGTTGTATGCATAAATAAATAAATCTTCAAGAAAAAAATCTGGAAAATATAAAAATACACAGAAAAGTTTAATAACACCACCTAAAAATAAGTACTATTTATAAAAATTTACATTTTGTGATACTTCCCCCATCTTTTTGTGTATTAATTTTTCTGTATTGATATCAGGCTATGTGTATATGCACAAAGGGTAGTGTGGAGGGGGAGAGAAGAGAAGGAGAGGGAGAGAGAGGGGGAAAATGTCACACAGTTCCATCCTATGGCTATACCATCCTTTATTTAAATCTCCTCTTTTAGGGTACTTACTGCTATAGACTGAATAACCGTGTCCCCCCAATTCTTCCACTGGAAGCTAATCCCCAATGTCAGAGTAATTAGGCGAGGTCTTTAGGTCTTGAGGGTGCAGCCCTTGTGAATGGAATGAGTGTCCTTATAAAAGAGGCCACAGAGAGCGCCTTGCTCTCTTTCTGCATGTGAGCTTGAACCAGTAAACGGGCTTTCTTTCACCAGATGCCAAATCTCCTGGAATCTTGACCTTGGACTTACCAGCTTCTGGAACTATGAGAAATGTTTTCTTTTCTGCAGTTTGTAACTCACCCAATTTGCGGTATTCTGTTATGGCAGCTGTATAGGCTATGACATTGAATTTATTTTTTTCTTCTTCTTACCCCACTGTAACTGGTATTATGAATAGCCTGTGTGAATTTTTTAGGATTTTCTTGGACCAAAGTCTGTTATTTTACTTAAGGCTTTATGTGTGTGTGTGTGTGTGTGTGTGTGTGTGGTTTTGAATCCTCACTTATATGGTGAGGATATATCCTCAAAGTGAGGATTTATATATGTGAAATAAGGAAATAAAATTTCTACTCTCTTAGGTTTATTGATTGAAGGCTTTGGAATTAAAAGACAATTAATGGGGGCCTCCCCGGTGGCGCAGCGGTTGAGCGCTGGGTTGCGAAGCTGCCCGCGGCCTCTGCGGCGCCGGTTCGATCCCTGGCTGCTCCCCGGCCACCGGAGGAGGGTCCCACATGGCGTGCAGACCTCTCCTGCCGCCCGCTGCTCCCCTCAGCAGTGTACTTCAGTCCTTCTGCCTGCTCTGCTCCCTGCTCTGGCTCTGGTGAATTCTCTCACCCTCCCGCGCTTCTGACTGTACCCAGTGCATGTATAAACAAAACAAACAAACAAACCAGCAAACAAATAAATAAAGCATGCCTCTATAAAAAAAAAAAAAAAAGACAATTAATGGGGCAGGGTAGGCTTACTTGTATGTGCTTGAGATTCAACAAAAGAAGTAACTGGCCAGTGAAATAATGAAGGGTAAAGGCATAAGTGTCTAACTTAGTAGGGGAAAGAGAGGAAAAAGCTTCTATGGAAAATACGTAGGTTTTTTTTAGGAAATACAAATTGGTTTTCAGAACAAACATGAGGATAAGAAAATTTGTGATAATGTTGTACATACAGATGTGAGTTGCCGTTGTGTCTTTTTCAGGGTCATGCTGCTCTCTCAGAGAAGGGATTTGGAGTAGGTTTTATTTGAATTCTGCCTTCCGGGAATCCATCCTGAAGAAAGAATTTATGGCAAATTTATTTCCAGGAAATTGCTGTGAGTCAGATCAAGGAAGCTGTAAGAAGGCTTCTTTCCGCATCTCTTGAAATTAAAAATGTCTTCAGCTTAAAACAATCTTATATTGATGGAGTATAGGGCAGGTCACCCCAAGATGCATCACTTCAGCAGGTGGGCTATATTTGAGCTGACATCAATCAAAGACCTAATAACCTAGGAAAATTTCAAGATGTACACATACTGTAAAGTGTTTTAGGAAATGTCCCCTACCTACCCTTGTAGATTAGTTAGTAAGACTATCTGTATAGACTTGAAGTTTGAAACAGTTATGTATAACCTGGTTCTTGTGGGTAAAATCAGTCTTTCACCCCCACGGGTGACCAAGGAACTGGATAAAGAAGATTTAACCAATGGGATCCAGCCTTGCATCCTTGCAGTTCATTCTTTAGAAAGGAAGAGATTAAATCCAGCATTGGCTTCCTCTAGCATCAGCATAGCTTCAGGCCAAGGCTACTTAGTCCACCCAGTCAAGTATTTACATTCTTGATGTCAATGATTCACTATTCCTGCTGATATAAATTAAACTCAAACTAGTGTTTGTTGGAACTGTTCTTGCAGAATAAAGACTGTGGTATTGCTTTGTACTGCTTCCTGAGTTTGAATTCTCACTTTGACTATTTAATAAACTCTTTGTCTAACTATCATTAAGAATTTTATTTCCAAGGGCCTCCCCGGTGGCGCAGCGGTTGAGCGCTGGGTTGCGAAGCTGCCCGCAGCCTCTGCGGCGCCGGTTCGATTCCCGGCTGCTCCCCGGCCACCGGAGGAGGGTCCCACATGGTGCGCAGACCTCTCCTGCCGCCCGCTGCTCCCCTCAGCAGTGTACTTCGGTCCTTCTGCCTGCTCTGCTCCCTGCTCTGGCTCTGGTGAATTCTCTCACCCTCCCGCGCTTCTGACTGTGCCCAGTGCATGTATAAACGAAACAAACGAACAAATAAATAAATAAATAAAAACATGGAAAAAAAAAAAAAAAAAAAAAAAGAATTTTATTTCCAGGCCTATCGCCATTCACTGCGGCTTGATTTCGATCCCTGGCCAGGGAGCTGGCACAGCAGACCTCTCCTGTCTCACCGTTGCTCCCCTCAGCAGTGTATTTTAGTACATCTACCTGTTCTTCTCCCCTCTCTGTCTCTGGTGAATCCTCTCACCCCCCCAGCACCTCTGGCCTACAGCCCAGTTCTTGTATGCATAAATAAATAAAAATAAATCTATTAAGAAAAGACTTTATTTCCAGTTAGCAAATAGAAGACTTTATCCAGAAAGGCAAATGTCATCCTAGATAACTACAACACAACAGGAACTAGTTGCGGTAGAATTTTTCTTTACATAAGTTGCCTTTCCACTATTCAAAGTGCTAAACCCTTACCGTCTTCTTAGTTCAGAATGACATATACCCTTATTTTGTCCAATTCACTTGGGATTTTTTTTATTCCTATGTAGCCAAACTGTAGAAAGCTGATAATTTAAAAACAAATTGACCCTGTGGATCTGCCTAATGTTAATTTGATTATTTGCTAGCCTAGAATAAACGAGAGGGGGAGGAGAAATCTCCCTCCCTTCCTCCTAGCCCAATACCAATCCTGGGAATCTAAGTGGGTCACTACATATACCATCTGATTATTTTCCAGAAAAGTCTTACTAAGTTATACCTCCACAATTTGAGCATTATTTTTTTAATCCTTAATGTTTTGTTAGCTTAAGTTGATTTAATTTTCACTTAAAAATTAAAAATAAATAAGGTTAAACCTTTTACAAGTATTAACTTTTAAAATAGATTATACTTGTATATTGTCTATTGCTACTTACTAAAAAATTTTTACTAGTGAATTAAAACCCTTCAGATTTTAAATGCTCAATTGTTGCTTTAGAATATTTATTTATTTTTGTTTTTTTGCTTTAGAATATTTAAAATGACAAATAGTGAAAAAATGTGTATTTACTTTACCAGTGTGAAGAGAAATAAGAATTCATTTAATTGTCAAATTCCTTAATAATTTTGAAAAACAGAAGGGTCAGTTCATTTCATCAGGACAATTTTGATTGTTATCCTAGCTATCTTCAAAGTGAAAGCTTGGACTAATGTCCAATACCAAGTTTTTTTTAAAAACAAAGTCTGGATATTTAAAATCAGAGGTCTAAACTCCAAGGAATGTAATCTTCTGACAGCTGTGTGTGAAGTCCCAAGTACTTTAGAAACTCTAAATTCTAAATTTTTTCCAACTTGATTATATTAAGTGCACTTTACCCCACAGCTATGACCCAAAAACAATGTTTATAAATTCCCTCAACCTCCTATATTTAACTTTCATTTTAGCATAGCCAATCAAAAGGAAATACTAAATTACTTTATGCTGCTTTCAAGTGTCATACATTAAATGTTTGTAGAGATTAAAGCCAAAGAATTTGTTCACAACTTTTCTAATTTTAAACCATCTCCTGATTTTCCCCTGAGATTTATAAATGTATTTTCCAGAATTCTACTGCAGTGTGTCTGAAAAGTCTGCTTGTCAGATTGTATTTTGCCCTTACAATCTCATGTCCTATGGTAAAAGCAAGCTGTCAGTGCCTGGCACAGTGCCTGCTGTTAACTAGTTAATAAATGTTTGTTGACTGGAGAGCGTTCAACCACCTGTAAAAGTGAAACCTCTCCTCAAGCCTGGTTGTGGTGACAATTATTTTTTTTATTTAAATATTTTTATTTTATGTAATTCTTACATCTTTTTTCATCTTTGCACAATGCATGCATTTTCATTTTGGTTATATTCCCCATACAATTGCCCCCCCCCCCTTATTTTGACACTAGTCCTTCCTTTTCCCGCCCCTCCCTCCCCACCCCACCCCCATAGTGTGTCTCTGGTTTATAGTTGCTTGTTGATTTTGATTTTTACTTTGTATTGATTAGTCTTTTTCCTGGTCTCTTATTTAGGTTTTCTAAATTCCTGCTATGAGTGAGACCATCCAGTATTTTTCTTTTTCTTTCTGACTATGGAAGCAACCCAAATGCCCAAAAATAGATGACTGGATCAAGAAGATGTGGTACATATACACCATGGAATATTACTCAGCAATCAAAAAAGATAAACACATGCAGTTTGCAGCAACATGGATGGAGCTAGAAGGGATCATGCTCAGCGAAATAAGTGACAATTATTTTAAACCTATGCTGACAGTTAGCATTGTCTGAAAGAGAGCTCCAGCAATTGGGCCTTGAGGGGAGGTTGCCTTCAGCTCCTTCTGGGTGTGGGAGCCCTCTGGGCCAAATGGCCTCCTGCAGGGTAAGTGGGTTAGTTGGGCTTTTTACACCACTGGCCTCTGCGGCTATCACCTTTGGCCTTGATCTTGTTAATGCAGAAGGCATGTGGGTGTTGGCACGCGTGCCTGATGGACACCTGAGCATGGGTTTGTGCGTGAATGTGCAAGTGTGCACACCTGAGCCTAGGAGGGAGGGGATAAAAGGTGGCGTCACCCTGGGGGAAGGGGCTCAAATTGCTGTCTCCTTGCTGCTTGTTTCCCTTGCTTACCATTAAAACCTGTGAAAACAATGCCCAGGGCTCCAAAATCCTTTTTCAAATCCCTAGAACTGACTGTGAACCTACCCTGCCTGGATGGTTGCAAAACCCCTCCCCACTCCCGCCCCTCACTGTTCTTCCTCCAGGCAGCCTTGAGAGATTCTCTTCACCAGGGCGGCCTCTGGAGACTATTCCAAGTTGGCTGGTGTGGGGAGCTGACTCCTTTGCCAACCAGATTCATTTAATCAGCCACCAAGTTCCTGCCAGGAATTTACAGCTGCAGCTGGTGCAGGCTCCTCCTATTGGGTGGCAGGATGGGGGCAAGGGTGAAGGGGACTGAAAATACAGTCTGCAGCTCCTTCCTCCCCACTACCTGCTCCTGGAGAAATTTTGTCTGCTCTCCAGGGGTGGTAGCATGAGCAGTGGGCCCGCTCCTGCTGGCATGCTCTTTTTTTTTTTTTTAATTTTTTTTTTTAATAGAGGCATGTTTTATTTATTTATTTGTTTGTTTGTTTGTTTTGTTTATACATGCACTGGGTACAGTCAGAAGCATGGGAGGGTGAGAGAATTCACCAGAGCCAGAGCGGGGAGCAGAGCAGGCAGAAGGACCGAAGTACACTGCTGAGGGGAGCAGCGGGCGGCAGGAGAGGTCTGTGCGCCATGTGGGACCCTCCTCTGGTGGCCGGGGAGCAGCCGGGGATCGAACTGGCGCCAGAGGCCGCGGGCAGTTTCGCAACCCAGCGCTCAACCGCTGTGCCACCGGGGAGGCCCCTGCTGGCATGCTCTTCAGTGCCAGCCTCTCCACAGAAATTTGGGGCCTAAGCTTGACTATGAGCCCAGTCAGCTGGGCTCCACAGGTAGAGGCTTCTTGCTGCTTGGCCTGGCTGCCCAGTATCTGGACCATGTTACACTCGGGTGCAGCTGGCCCCTCTGCTCACTCCCCCAGCCTCATACTTCCCCACTGGATCTCCAAGACCCAGTCTATAAATGGTGGTGCCTATTGCTGGTGAGGCTGAGCACTGGGGCCTGCACAGGCATTTCTGCAAGCAGAACTAGAAGACAGAAGCTGTCCATTGCACCCCATGATCCCCAGCTCTGTCCTTGCCCTTTCCACCCAACCCAGGTTCAGAGACTCGGGGCCATCACCTCTGTTTCAATCATGCAGGCCGAGGGAGGATCTGGACATGATGACAATGTTGTTTTGGAGCCATTCTCCGAGACTCCTGACCTCCCCACCTTCTCCACGCTCTCCTTCCCAGCCATCCATGGCCCCCTTCGCCACCTCTCATTCTCAACTTTTCTTGTGTACTGTAGCGCCAGGAAGGCACAGAGCAGGTTCTCTGTGGATCTGGGTACACAGGTAAAGGAAGAGTCCTGGAGCCCTCAGAGGCTTTTTCAGGCTTTAATGATCTTTCTACACCATTTACGGTGTGGCTACCAGGAGCAGGGCAGGCAGGGAGGTCTGGGGTCCAGGAAGCTTCCCAACCCCCAGTGAATCTTCACTCTCTGGTGTTTTCTCGTGGCCCCTTCGCTGATCTCTATTGCACTCCACTGCAGTCTTCTGCTCTGCCTCATCCTCTGCTGCCTCTCTTATATGCTCAGTCTCTTGGCGCATGTGTGCCCACTTACGCACGCATACCCACCCAAAAGTCGCCATCAGGCATGCATGTAAGACCATAGATGCCCATGGCGGGAGGGCAGGAAAAAACCCCGATAATTTCCATTTACCCTACATGTACCAGGGTGTAACTGCCTAACAAGTGAGATCTTAGATTTTTCTGAAAACTCCAATCCATGGGTACAGGGATTGTTTTTCCATACAGGATTGTATGACTTGTAAGCGGCTTCCAATCTCAATTGAAAAATAGTAGGTATCAGGGCTGGCCATTGGAGTGATATTGGGCTGTTAAGGGCCCCTATTCCAGGTGAACATGGGGCCTCCTAACCAAAGATATGGCTATATAGTTACAATATACCCAACAGGTTTGCTCAAACAAAAACAAGCTTCACCAACAAAATGGGTCTATTCGGAAACAACAAAAGTGTACTGGAGAGAGCAGGTTCCAGACAAGAGCTTGCACTTCCCCTATACAGCCTCCTCTTGTCTGCTCTGGTGGAGAAGCAACATTACTTCCATCAGAGATGCAAGGCAGAGTGGGCCTGTAACTTGCTGTTTGCTCTTTTCTTCTAGCCCCCAACCTCATTTAAATAGGCTTCTGTATAGTAAATTTCACATCACCAATCCAGTGAAATAGAATTCAACTATTGATAGTTTCATTAGAAAGAGGTGAAGTTCTCCTCTTACACTGTTGGTAGGGGTGTAGACTGGTTCAGCCTTTAGAGAAAACAGGATGGAGCTTCCTCAACAGATTCAGAATGGATCCACTGTATGACCCAGGAATCCCACTCCTGGGTATCAACCAAAAAGGCACAAAAATACTAATTTGAAAGGAAACATGCACTCTCATGTTCATAGTAGCACTATTTATAATAGTTAAAATATGGAAACAAACTAAATGCCCAAAAATGAATGAGTGGATCAAGAAGATGTATGTATACATAATGGAATTCTACTCTGAGATCAAAAAAGACAAACTGTGGCAAAATGGGTGGAATTGGAAGGGATTATGCTAAGCAAAATAAGTCAGAAGGAGAAAGACAAATACCGGATAGTATCACTTATAGGTGGAATATACAGAAACCAAACAAAGGAACAGATAAAGCCAAACTAAAAAACTAACCCTAGACCCTTGACTATAGAACTGAGGAATCCAGAGGAGAGAAGGGTGAGGACGAAGTGGTGAGGGAGCATAACAGACTAAAGTGGTGGGTCACGGGTGCGTTGGTCATCGGTGCACTATGGCAATAACACCTGGAAGGCGGCAGTGGTGTGTGTGTGGGGGGAGGGTGTCTTATATTTTTTAGACTATAAACAGTGATGTAAACCAACATTACTTCAATTGAAATTTTTTTTTAAAAATAGACAATTTCAAGTAATAGACAATGCACTATTGCCATTCTACCTGGACTCTCTCCAGGATGAAAGTCATACAATAAGATTTTCCCATATTTAATAGATGTGGCCTTGATGAATAATAAATGATAATGATTTTTAAAAAAGAAAAAGAAAGCTGAAATTCTGAGTTTGATAGTTTTGCCATGGTAAAACTCGAACAAGAAACTGTGGGGTAAAATGCTTGTTTTTGATGATGATGATCATGATCTGTTTTTATTTTACACTTAAAGGAAAAAGAAGACTTCTTCCAGAGGCATAACTTATTTATCATTTAAATGATTGACTTTATGTACTTTAAATGGTTTTGTTGAATATTCAACAGTAAAATATTTTCCTGATATTTGAGTTACAACTGGCCATTGGAGTGATATTGGGCTGTTAAGGGCCCCTATTCCAGGAGGTGAACATGGGGCCTCCTAACCAAAGATATGGCTATAAAGTCTTGGCACGGGAGGGGATAATGGTGCTAATTTGGAATCTTCTTACCAGTGTAGCACGCTGTTCCTGAACAGCCAGTTAGAATATTGGGGGCACATTGAACACTCTCAGAGGGTGTGAAACACACAATTTTTCTTCTTTTCTACCTTCTAAATGTTCTATGAACCTTTATCAGAAAAATTAGGACATAAAAGGGAACATAATATTATGCATGTAGCATTCTACCAATTACATATTTTAGATATCTTTAGGAGGTGACATTTTTATGGTTTTTAGTGTTTCATCTTTTCCAAGTTTTCTGTAATTATTAATAATATTTATTAATGAACATTCATTAATTATAGAATCAGAAACATTTTGAAAAAGTATGATTTTTCTTAAAAATAAAAAACACTTCAACTAATAAAAATAAATGATGGAGATTGAAAAGGAAAGATAAAATTAATACATTTGAGGAAAAATATAGAAAATGATATTTATCACTTTGTGATAGGGAAGCATTTCTAAACAAGACACAAGACATTCCTTCACATGGTATTCAAAGCAGGGAGGTAATAGAATTCAAATCATTTGGAGTAATATGGAAGCCCTGGAGAAAGACAGTCACCCCAACATTCAATCCAGCATTCAATTCAAACCTTTAAGACTCGCACAGGGGTAAACCAATGTCCAGAAATCCTAGAAACACAGTGGCCAGTTTAAGCTTTATACTCAGTAGCTGTGTTCTTGAGTTACAACTGGCCAGTCAGGTATGTCTGACTGCTACAAGCCAATAGCTTTCTTGTTGTTTGTTTTCTACCTGAGTGCAGGTGAGCAGAAGGAGGAAGAAATCCTTCTGTCCAGCAGCACCCCCACCCCCTCTCTTTTCCAGCCTGCCTTCCCTTTCCACAACCTCTCAGTTGTCTCTAACTAAAGGAGCCCTTAATCACAGGTGGGGTTCAAGTGAAGGGACTGTTCCTGGACCCAAGTGAGTGAGTGAAATTCCAAAGCAGTGTGAGTGAGTCACCCAGGAGGTAGAGAGGCAGAGGCCAGGACCAAGTCAGAATAAGAGCCGGAGGGCAGACCGCAGCAGGGGCCATGGGCTGGGCCAAGACACCAAGAACGCTCACCTGTCCAATGGAAAAGCAAGGCCTCCAGCCCCAGGTGCCTTATTTCTGGGCCCTGCACAGCCCTGGATGGGGAGGGAACTGATCAGGAGGTAGGCCTGCTGGTCCCACCCCTGGATACCATAACCATGTCCCTCACCTGGCTTCCCATAGGCTGTGCTCTGGGCCCCAGCCCTTAAAATCTGAGTTGTTTCCCCAGGCATTCCCTCCCACCCCGCCTGGCCCAGGACACAGCTTCTGGAGAAGGAACTGCGTTAGGCCAGTCAGGCCCCAGAGGAAAGGCAGCAGTTAAGTCTATGGCCCTTGCCCCACTGATCCTGAGACCAGCCCTGGGCCCTTTCTTTATGCCCAGGGAGAGAGAGGAAGCTCCAGTGAGCCCTGTTGCTCACCTGTCTTCACCTGGTCACGGCTTGCACTCTATCCAAGGTGCACTTCTCAGAATCCCATCTCTTCCAGAGGGTTAAGGAATCAGGCTAAGGAATCAGTCCCATCAAGGTGTAGCAGCCTCTCAATGGGGTGTAGCAACCTGAGGTACCAGACCCAGGATAGGAAGTGGGGGATCCCACCTGCAATGGCAGACACCCCACCAGGGCAGGCTTGGCTTCTACTGCTTTGTGAACCTGGCCAGGAAGGAAGGGGAAACTGGGGGAGCAAGTGGATGACCACCTCTCTCAACCCAGCAGCCCTTTTCATTCTTGTCAATCAGAGTGGCCACCGGCCAGGATGAAGCTCAGTGACAGCTTGGGATTCCGGGACCACCTTCTATCCCTCTCCCATCTGAAAAGCCACTGCCAATACCAGAATGCTTGCACTACCAATTCTGCCCTGCTCATTCCTGGACACTGGGCCACCCCTCCTAACCACCCCCTAACTCTGGGAGCTCCCCAATATTTTAGGCAGTTAGGATCCATTTCTCCAAAAAGAAACAGCAGCATTCTTAGCCCTAATTTTCTCCCTGACTTGCCCTGCACCAGCCCAATGTTGTTCCTCTTTCTAACTGCACTCCATAGTCTCAGCCTTGCTCTAGGAATTCCTACCAGCAGATTCCCCTGTCAGCCTGCTCTCACTTCCTTGCGAAGCAGTAGCTCAGAGACAGTGTACCTTTTGTTTTGGGAAGAGCCAAAGTTGAAATGGAGACTTCTTGGGCCTAATGGGGCTCTTGCAGAGCTGCAGAAACTAGAGGGGCCAAGGCTGAGAGGAAGACAGCCAAAGGCCTTGGGGGAGAGAGAGTACAGGCTCCCAGTATTGTCATCCTGGCTGAGATGGGGCTGTGTGACATGGCCATTTAAGGATCTGGATGTCCACACTTATAGATGACCTTTCTTCCAGTTCTAAGTTACAGTGATTCTGTCTTCCTCCTGTTGGGTATATATATAAATGTGTGTGTGTATGTGTGTGTGTGTGTGTGTGTCCCATCTACTGAGTTAAAAATCCATGCTTTGAGGCATGAAAACATTTCCACATTCTTGAGTCCCTCTGGGGGAGGATCTTGGGAGACCACTTTGAGGCTATCTCCGCTGGCCCATTCCTTCTTCAATGCTTTCTGTCTCCCTAAAGCCTTTGGGCTCCAATTGACCCTCCCTGGAGGCAGAAAACACCCTCACCTGATAACATCATACAATCAGAAGTTAAAAATGGAGGGTGATGATTCAATGGAGCTGCCTAGTTTCATGCATGTGCAAATAAACGGAAGCCCAGAGATAAAGTCTAGCAGAGGTGCCACAGCACAGGAACTGACAAGGCCACAAGCTCGCCATGTGACCTTGCACAGACTGTTTTCTGTTCTGCGCCTCAGTTTTTTCATCTGTTAGTTTTTTTTTTTTTTTTAATGAATTAAGAACAGCTTGTTAATTCTCGAAAATCAGGGCATGAGGTTGGAAGGGCCCAGGGGCTGTGCTGCCTCCTCTGGGAGGCTGTGAGCCAGCTGCTGGAGTGGAATCCTTTCTCTGTGCCTGTTTTTCAATTCTGGCAAGTCACATCCCTTCTTGAAGCTTCTTCAATTTCCTCATCTATCAAATGGTGGATAATAATAGCACCGTCTTATAAGATTGTTTCAAAGTTTAAATGAGGTACTACATGTAGTACTGGGCACATAATAAATTCGCAATACATTATTCTTTTTAAACTC